TCCACATCCGTCCGGAGTCAGCAGTAGAACAGAAGCCATTCAGCTTCTCTCTGTACTGCCTCTTGGCCACTGTGACCTCTTTCCTCAGTCTGTAATTAGCAGCTTTTTACTCCATCTCATTGCCTGATCTGAATGCATGAGAGCGAGCATGCAGCATGTGGCGTACCTGACTGTTTATCCAGGGCTTCTGGTTGGGAAACTTCCTGACTTGTATGGTGGGCACAATGTTGTCAATACAGGTGCTAATGTATCTGGTCACATACTCAGCATAATCCTGAGCGTCCAAAGTGGGGGCAGGGTGCAGCCCTGTATGCACCACATACAGTATGTTACTGTACACATGATCTAGAGTGTTCTTGCCCCGAGTGGGAATGTTCACATGTTGGTAATATTTGGGGAGTACAGTCTTTAAATTGCACTGGTTAAAGTCGCCTGCAGCGATAAATACAGCATCGGGGTGAGCTGTCTCTAGCGCGTTGATGACATCATAGAGTTTGCTGAGAGCCGCACAGGGATTAGCTCTTGAGCTAACATATACAGCAGCTAAAAACACAGCACTATGCTCTCTGGCTAGATAATAGAGCCGGCATTTCAGCAATAAAAACTTTACGTCTGGCGAACAGTGCTTATAAACAGTCCATACATCTCCACACCATGAGTTATTAATGAACACACACACACCACCTCCCTGTACCTTCCCTGAAGCGGCAGTGCAGTCACTTCGATGTAGAGTGTGTGTTTGTAGCTGAATCGCTGAGTCTGGAACTCTGTCAGAAAGCCAGGTCTCAGTGAGAACTAGAGCACAGCGTTCTCTGATTTCCCGTTGTGTTGTAATCCTAGCCTTTAGCTCGTCCAGTTTGTTTTCCAGAGACTGTACGTTAGCAAGGAAGAGGCTGGGTAATGGCGGTCGGGTAGCGCAAGTTTTTAGCCTAGCATGGAGTCCCCCTCGCCTGCCCTGTTTGCATCTCCATCTCCGGGTCGCTCTCCTGATTTCAGCCTGCTCGCTTGTGCCTGGTGCTCCGGGGGCTCCCCGAGGGCGATGGTGGGTGTCCTCGCCATTGTTGTTATTTTCACTGGAGCGAACAATGAGTTGTAGCTCCGGTGGTATGAAACCAGTAAATTCCCAGTGGCTTTGTGAGTTGGCGATATCCAGCAATGCCTGTCTGTTGTATGTAAGCAGTGCATGACATTTGTGCACTGCAGAAAAAGCAAAAAACACACAAAAAAGAAGAAAATGAAGAAAAAAACGGCATTCAAGAGTGGAGCCCGCAAACACGTTTGCCTCGGTGGGCGCCATGTTGATCCATTGTAATGGAATCTGGGTTTATGCTAAAAGTAATCAAATAAAATACAGTGTACCCACAGTGTAATGCCTCCTGTTTTTTTTTTATCTGAGTGCCCTGAATGACAGTTGTCTTGTTGGAATACAGATCTCTGTGTTCTGGTAGAAGAGTTGGTCTTGAAATATCAATCAAGTGTCTTTGTTGCATGCATGCATTTGGGATGTGAGATTATTGTTGTGCTGAGCTTCATAACTGTGAAAACAACTGTGAGAAGAGTTGGCAAACATGAAGTCAGTAGGTTAACAAAATCTATAGGCTGACAAACTATAAATGTAGTCATTACACACAGCGTTGCATTAGTCAGTAATGTTACCCGCTCGGAGGCAGAACAGCTGACAACAGCATTAGCATACAGCTGTTTGGTAACTAACTACAACAGTTAGCAACCTGTTTAGCTGCTAGTCAAACAGTGTAGCTTGTACATTACCTTATATATCTTACTGTAAATATCAATTGTACATACTGTATCTATCAGTAAATTAGTTCTGACTGTACATACTGTAGATACTGTGCACTCTGCACTGCTGGTATTGCACTTCTGGTTAGATGCTAAACTGCATTTCGTTGCCTTATACATGTGTAATGCCAATAACGTCTAGTCTAGTCTAGTCTGTGTCAGCTATTAGCTGCAGTGACTTAACATTTAGCTCTGGCATTCAACACAGGAAAACTAAAAGCCGTTTGGTTGAGAATGCATTTCAGAGAAACAAGACCGCAAACACACACTGCTAAAAGTAGACCTCATCTGATCGAGTCTGTGCGCCTCCATAAAATACAGTGTGCCTACCTTGAAATTCCTGTGAGCTGGGCAGGCCCCCTCTGCTTACTTAGTTTCACCTCCAAAGTGTGTAAAAGTAGTGCCAGTGTACCACTTCACTAAAAAAATAAAAATAAAAAAATACCGCAACAAAGTATATTTACAGCCAATCTCATAGAGCCTGGCTGTCTCACCACTGAGGTATAGTCCGAGCTGAGCTGAGCTGTATGAAGCCTGAGCATATGAGCCTTAGCTAAGGGCAAATAAAATCTAAATCACTGGCACATATTTGCAGAAGTCGGAGATGGCAGGAATGTAGCACAAATCACATGTAAAAAATGTATCCAAGGTGTAAAAAAAACAATCCCATTTTTCATGGGCATGCATATATTTTCAGATTCTTTTACACATGAACAAATTTTATTTGTATTTACAGATTTGTTTATACATTTACACATCTCAAAACATATTTACACATTTGTGGATACATTTGCAAATTCCAGTACACATTTACACATCTTAGTACACATTTGCAGATTCCTTTATGCCTTTACAAATCTGAATGCATATTTGCAGATCTCTTTACACATTGACAAATCTGAGTACACACACAGAGACTGAGATACAGGTTCACAACTCTCCACACACATTTGTAAATAATTTACCTACCTATAGATATGGGGTTCACTAAACTGTTCATGCTTATGCAGTTATCCACCACAAAAGAGCCCTATGTGGCATACAGTAGGTGCCCTGTGATTCTGTGTCATCCTCCATTTCTCTCTGGCCAGGGGATATCCACAGCCAGCTCTTCTCTCAGCACCCCCCAAGCCTCTTGCCCACTGTATTGGTATTTTTCCAAATTATGCAGTGTGTGTAGTTAGGCTCAGACCTAGTAGTTTAGTCAATCTTTAAAAAGATTACTTCAGTCTCACTTGATTTTTATTTATATTTTGGGTAGAATTCAGGCAGAAATTAAATTGAATTAATTAGTTCATCTATGTTGTGAGGAGCTGCTGCCAATGTTGCATTGTGATCTTTAAGTAAAATTCACAATGTTCATTGAGAGTGATTTTTTTGTTTAATCAGTTTCTTGTTCTGTTACGAGAGATCGGCCTTTACCCACAACTGAACAGAGGACTCAGAAGGCAGGTCTCAGATTCAGGGTCCAAACACAAAGATTTATTCTTACAGGCTAGGTAATTAGAGGACAAAGGCTTAACTGGAGGGTGACTGTTGGCTGGGATGAAGAATAGGTTGCTCAGAAAAGCGAGGCGGGGGTGATAGCTGGAGTGTGATGCAGGGGTGCCACAGGAAGGCTGAGATGGTGTGGATAGGAGCAGCTGGAGTACGGCGCTGGAACAGAGCAGGAAAACTGAGCTGGCGTTGGGCTGGTGACAACTCAGGAGCAATGCTGGAATAAATGAGGTGAGCAGAAAAGTCAGAAGACTCAGGAGAAAATTGGCCGAAAAAACTGGTTAAAAAAACCAGTTAAAAAACTGGCAAAGAGGTGATGTCAGTGCCAGGATTAAGTAGTCGGATTTAGGGTACAAACTAAGATTTATCCGTACAGGCTAGGTAATTAGAAGACAAAGGCTTAACTGGAGGGTGACTGTTGACTGGGATGAAGAATAGGTTGCTCAGAAAAGCTTAATGAGCCGATTGTCAACCGTTGTGTGGCTCGTCCCCGGCCACGCCCAGCTGCTCGATTTCATTGCCTGATTGTGAGGGAGAGGGAGCGCTGGCAGAAATCCCAACATTGTGTCCATATTTACATAACCCCTAATGCTGGTGAGGAAATGGTTAAAGGATTATCGCAAAGAACCACACTGCAATAAAAAATGCATTTCCTGACATTTTGCAGTAAAAATCACTTGCATATCACTTGTAGTGTCTAATGTACAGTATCAGATAGGACTGAATATAATTTGCCAATTTTCTCTCATGGGAGGCAGCTCATTCATCCATCCACAGCTGCTTCTATGCCATGTATCAAACTTCATCATGACTGACAGCTACCAACACTTATTGATAACATACAGCCTGCCAAGTGTTAATGACAGTGAATCAGCCATAATCACAAACAGTCAGGCCTGTAGTACTTTAAACCAGATGATTTTTTGCGCAAAAGCATGACAAGAGTTTATAATCAGGAATTATTTCATGTAATGCCACCTGTCACCTGTACTGTGTACATTCTCAGTTTGCACATGCATAATTGCACACCAATTGCTTGTCTGTTGCACATGCATCTGATTGTAGCATATATTCTTATTTTTATAATTTTTTCACTTGCTGTTTTTAAAGTGCCTTTATTTTGTATTACTATTTATCTATTTTTATTTTATATTCAGACTCTATATTGTTTGGTATTCATTGTGGACAGCAAAGGAAGAATTTCATTGTGCAGGGAAACAAGAAGCCTAACAGTGGGTCAACAAAAACACAAAGCAGACTCAAACTCCAGCATCTGCTGAGCTTAGTAAATCAGTGCACGAGAAGAGAATGGTTCAGGAAAGTCCATTCAGCCTATTGCTGTAGTATTCATTCATTCATTCATTCATTTTCTACCGCTTAGTCCTTAGGGGGAATACTCAGAGATCGCCAGTTGGATTTACTAACCTTGGAGCTACTTGAAAGGGAGTGATGTTTGCTGTACTCGGTGGGATTTAACACTAAGGTAAAAAAACAAACAAACAAAAAAAAACGTTGCATTTCTGTTAATGTGTTGTTTCTGTAACATTAGAGAGGATCGTTCTAAGGTTGGACAAGTTACTATATCTGCATTATGCCAGTTGAAATATGGGCTTTCTCAGTTATCTGCTTTGTTTATAGTGCTACAAATCTCCTTTCATCAGTATATATAACATTGTTTACCTATCTATGGAGGCGAAATTCAAATTAATTTATGCCCTTGTGGTTTGTTGTGCTGTCCATTATCCTCTCGTTTTTAGGAAGAGGCGCTCTGGTGTTATTAATTTTGTCACGCTCCTGCCCCTCTTGCTTCCTGTCATGCTTTTATTTTCACATTACTTCCTGTTTTGTTTCACCTCAGTTTTGGCCTTTTTACTTAATCATCATTAGTTCACCTGCTCCTTATTGTTTGCACCTGTTTTTACTTCTATTTAGGCAGTGTCCTCCCACCAGGACGCTGCCAGATTGTTCTAGACCCCAGCTCTGACTCTCCAGCATTTATACCTTGCCTGACTCTCTGTTTCTGACCTTGGATTACTATTTTTGACCACCGTTTTTTTTGCCTATGCCCTCCCAGACTCTGATCGCCTGCAGTGTACCAACACACACACAGTATAGATACCGGCTTTCATCAAACTCGATTTGACAGTTCTAGGCGAAAGGTTATCCAATCAGAAGCTTTGTGAAACAGCTATTTAAAAAAAAGACATAACCGTTATTATTGGGGTTTCTGTTTGTAATGTTATATAGTGAATAAAACAAATGGTACATAGAAAGTATAGTAGTGATTTGTATATTAAATATAGTTGACCAGATATTTAGTTTCAAAAGAGGGCACGACAGATGTCCTTGAGTTAGGTTTGAGTAATTGTAGAGGTGTGAAACAGCTATTTAAAAAAGACACAGCCATTATTATGTAGTGTGAGATGAATAAAACAAAAATGGACATACAGCTAAAACAGAGTAGTGATTTTGCACATTTTGACCCATGGGAAACATGAGACAACGGATGTCTGAGTTATTTATTGGGGTAATTATTTAGATGGTAAAAACAGCGTTTGCTCGAGATAAATCAGAGGCTAGCATATGTTCCTCATCACAGAGCTGTGTTTTTTGTAAGAGACCGAGACCCAGCAAATAAGAAAAGACGATATCCTGCAGAACAACCTGAAAACACTTGCGACCCGCTGACCAAAGTGATGAGGCAGAGCGAGAGGTCCAGGGCTGGCGGCAGCAGCAGCACCCCGCAGGCGAGAGCTGATTCCAGGATCTTTAAAGCCATGTGGGAGACGCACGGCAGCAGTTCGGGGAGATGGTACTACAAAGTTGTAGCCAAGGGGCTAGGGGATAAAAACGAGGTAATGGGTATGTACAGGTTCAACACAGAATGTGGTGTTTCTCAGAAGACTATGAACCTTCGTTGTATAACTTGGATGGAAATTTTTTAACAGGTGGGGGGACGAGATTACCACATTATTCCGTGCCAGCCAGCAGTGGCAGGAGATTGTAGTGTTGAAAAAGGTCCTGTTTGCATAGCCACACCCCCCTGCAACCCCTTCCAACCGCCCCCCTCAGCCTTGAAATAAATAGAGATGGATGTGTTTCAGTGACCAGTTTCCAGTGTTTCAGTTTCCGCTCCAGCAACCAAACTCTTTGGGGTTTATTCATCAACAATGAATCCTTCCAAGACTGAACCTGCAGCTCCTCAGCCCTCTCCCGCTTCATCCACAGACTCTGAATTCGAATATCTGCTCCAGCCTGTCAGCAGCAGCAGCGAAGAGGAGGAAGAGTCGAAGGGGGATGAAGAGGTGGAGGAGGAAGACAACAGCCAGCACAGCGATGACAGTAGCCAGAGCAGCGCCTGAGCAAGGATAACACCAGGGGGAGAGAAGCGTCTCCTCAACCGGCCAGCACAACCCCGATGGATCTTGACACAGTGAGCGAGGAGCCTCAAAAGGGGTGTGATGAGGAGAGCGGCAACAGTAACCCCCTGAGCAGCGATGACATCGAGGAGATGGTTTTCTCTCCTCAACCAAACCTCACGAATCTTGACACGGTCCATGAGGAGCCTGAAGCGGAATGTAGCCATGAGCTGGACGGGGGTATGTTCAAACTGTTTTCTAACATTGTAAAGTCCCTCGTCACCCGCGTCTTGTACGCTGCAATT